CCCCAAAACCCCAAAACCCCAAAACCCCAAAACCCCATGAAAATATAGCTGGTAAGAAGATTTGAGCAATAATTTAATTTCAAATTATTCATAGTAAAGATGAGTACATTTAAGCAACGACTTGGAAATGCTCTTAACACTCAACTCAACTTCCCAACCCACCAGAATACCTTCTCCCCTCATCAATATAATCAATAAATGGATACCTCTTCAGCAAACATCTACGGAGCTGGCAATCAAAACATCGCTACCAACAGCAGAAAGAGTGTTAATGCCAGTAGAATAAGTAACAATACAAGTAGTGTCTTAAGCGAAAGAGTTCATCGAATTTCTGAGAAGATCAATGAGATTCATGTAAGCTTAGTTTTTCAATCATAGATTTCTGATTACTAAACTCAAAAATATATAGTAAAACATTGAAAAAGGTAAAGTTGGAAAACTTGAAGAATACGAAAAGAAGGTCAACCTATTAGAACAATAATTCGTAGACGGACTTGACTCTGCTGAGAAAAATTTCTAGCAAGTTGATCAAAGAGTAAGCATTATCTTCTTTAGGGCAAAATTGTTTACTGTTAAATATAGCTCCAAAATGTATTCTAATATTTGAATGGAGACAGGCTATCAAAAGAAGATCTACTTAGATAAAAGAGAGAAGAAATAGCTCAAAGAGAGCAAGAAATATTAGAGAGATTCGCTCATGCTGAGAAACAAAGATTCGATATTGATAAAAGACTCACTAAGTTAGTGGATGAAAGAGCTACTGCAGTTTCAGGGGATTTGCAATATGAGGCAAGAAATAGACTTGAGTCTATTGAGCATATTAAAGCTTGTTTAAAGAGTGATTTCCCAAAACTAGAAGAAATGATTAGGAAAGAGGCAGAAGATAGAGAAGAAAATGATGCCATGCTAGATCAGCAACTTCTCTCTGAAATGGCCCGCCTTAGAAGCTTGGTAGATGATGAGAAGAGAGGAAGAGAAGAGACTGAGGAAACTATGATTGAAATGTTCAAAGAGATGATATCTAAGATTAAGAGTGAAATTGATTCCGAGAAATCAGAAAGAGAACAGGCAGAAGAAGCACTTTTAAGCCTCTTAGAGGAAACTTGCGCTAAACTCAATAAATCGGTGGCAATCTGATCAAGAATACTATAATTAGAGGATGTGTGAAAATATATGAGGGCTGAAATCAAAATCAGCTCATTAGATGAAGATAAGATTATTTGATTAATTATTAACTGTATTTTTAAATATATTATTAAAGTTATATACGAAAAAAACAAGAAATGGCAACTGACTTTGAAAAAAATGCATTTAAACCTAATTTAGGTTTAGGAGGTGCAGCTATGAGAAAAATGCAACAATTAGCATAATCTCTTTATGAATCAACTCCTGGGCTTTAGGAAGGTATTTATTAGAAATTGACATACACAAGTAATTTTATATTCATTTTTTAGAGATCCCTAGAAACACATCGAAGATCTTGGCAAATGTTAAGAGAGAGGACAATAGAGCTGAAGTGAGAGCTAAAACGTTCTTGTAAGATAGTAGTGCTACAAATCTCAGAAAGGGAGGCACAATCGAGAAAAAAGATTTAAGTATGTAAACTTGGTTTAACTTAACTTATTTCTTAGCAATTGCAATGAGTGCAGAGGATTGGGAAACCAAGTATTTTGAAATATTAGATAAGTTCAATCACGAAAAGCATCTAACGGTAAAGCTTAAAGAAAATATGATTAAGAAATAAGAGAGATACATTGATCGTGAGCATGAATACAGGAAAACAATCAATCAAATAGAGCAATCAATATAGGAAAAATCCACAAAGCCTTTAGAAATAATCCATGAACATGATGAAAACTAGCTGCTTCTAAATGGAGTAGATCCATCAGATTAGAAGTAGCAAGATCTTATGGAGAAAGAGAGGAAATAGAAGCTGAAAAATGATTTATAAATTAACCCAAAAAATGTGAAGGCTATTCATAATGTGTATGATAAAATTCAAGAAACTATTGGAATGATTTAAGAAAATACTGCAAAAGAGTTATGGAAATAAAGGTCTGAAATAATGTAAACTCTAGATAAGAAGCTCGAGGATATCAAATAATAGCTTAGAGCAGAAACAGAAAAGAAGAGAGAGAACTAGTATGACTTTAAGGAAAAAGAAAAAGAACTAAATGAGCATTTAGAGACAATGACTTAAATTGCTTAGAAAATTGACGATGAAAACAGAAACTTAATGAAGAAGAACAGCGATCTCAAGATCTAGTACATGAGTCAAGAAAATGACAGAGATTTGCTGCTAAAACAAATCATCTATCAAAAGAAGGAGCACTAAAGACTCAGAAGGATGGTAGATGAGAAAAAGAAATAGGCAGAAGAAGTGCAAAAAACTTAAGATAACACTTTGAACATGAATAACTAGACAAATGCAAATAATACTGGTAGCATTGGAGGAGGGCAATATTAGAATGAAAATAGTCGTCACCAAAATTAAATGGGACAAAATACCATGCCTGATATCAAGAACCAAAGAGTTTAAAGTGGATTATATGGCAAAAACTAAGGCAGAATATCTTAAAATAATATATCTGGCCTTAACAATTCAAGAAGGAATATTTCATTGACTGGAGCAAATATGTTTGCAGGAAATAGTAGGCCTAAGACTGCAGCAATGCCTGGTCTAACAGGTATCCCACGACCTCCTACAGCTGCCTATGGTCTAGGAAACAGAATGGGAACTAATATGACTGCTGGTGGTCCTTATGGATTAAATTTTACAGGGTAGAGAGCTATTAGTGCAGGATTTATGCACAATCCTAGAATTAAAAGGTACGAGGATATTATCTAAAGGCTTAAGAAGATGCTGACAATGGAGAAAAAGAGCTTAAGAATGGTTAGGACTCTATGCTCTAAAGAAATCGAATCTAAGAATTAACTTGAGAAGATACTAAGACAATGTGTCGATGATGTAAAAAATGAGATTGCTAAAAAAAGAAGTGAAAATAAATCAATCTACCATAAGGGAAGAAGAGAAGGAAATCTTGATGAAAAAGCACTAACCCAACAGGAAAGAGAAAAGATAATAGAGGTGTTACTTTCTTAAGAGAGAGTATTGACCTTACTTTATGATAAAACTTTTCCACCTAGACCAGCAACTGCAAAGGTTGGATTAAAGAATGCATTTTCTGGTTCAGGTCTATCTGGTGGTGGAGTATCAAATCAAAACTTGAGATAGTTTAATTACTATGGTCAAATAAATGAGGATGAGATTGGTGAAGAAGATGCCTAGGAGGTTGAGAAACTCGAGAAAGAAATAGAAGATGTATTAAAGAATAGAATAAGCACTGCTGATGGTCTGAATAGAGGTAGACCTCATCCAGGCCAAGACGGAAATAACATTATAAATATAAGTAAAGGAGACAGTTTCCAGCAGAGAACATAAAATGGAGTAAATGGAGGCAAAAGGAATTTAATGAGTGCAGCTTATAGGTAAAATAGATAAGGTTATAACGATGAAACTCATGAAATAGGTGATGATATATATGAAGATGAAGAGAGTAGTGATGGAATGGAATGAGAATTCAATGAACTTATATATCTAAAAATATTTTAACTTTATTAATGATCTCCTTTTTAACTCTATATTTTATCTTTAATTAATCAATTAATGCAAACTAATTACAGTTTAGAAGTTTTACTGGTTTTTATCTAAGCATTGTAATCAATTTGGGAAAGATAAAAATGCTTTTGCGACAGAATTTATCTTCAAAATTCTTACAAATAGAATTATAGAGTTTATTAAAAATAGTTTCTTTAACCTTGGATACTAATATTTTAATAACTTTCTTATATGTTGATAGTTTAATAGATTTTATTTTAAATTATTTATCTTATTAATTACAATTCTTATAATTAAATCGATTAAGGGAATATGAACACCAATCCATCTATCGAACTGTTTAATAATTTGGATTATCAAAGACCATCCAAGTTGATTAATGAGATGAATGACTGCTTACAAAAGCTAGATCTTGATGATAGTCATAACTTAGAACCATAGAGCTTTGAAGATTTGAATGGAACTATTCCGTGTGATTTCATTCCTAACAGTATGACCATGTCTCAAGCATGTCTTCAATCTACTCCCCATCTATTTAGAGAAGAACTCAGAGGCCTTGAATGCACATAGAGTTCACCGTAAATAAATATTCAGGAGCTCAGCCAATAAATTAAAGCTGCACTTTTTGGAGGTACAAGCCCAGCAAGTGTCAAAACAAGAGCAAAAATCTAGTAATAAAATAAGGATGATGATGAGACTGTAATAATGACTACTAATAATCTAAAAGAACGCTTCACAATGCCTGATGGAAATCAAGTACAATCTCAATTCTCAACTAACTACAAATAGAAGAATCCTTATAAGAGTAGACAGATCTCTATACATACAAACGCCTATTTAGCAACTGATGTTGGTGATAGCACTTCTCACAAGCAGGAAATTTTTTCAACAGCTTAGACCACTTAAATGGGCTCTAATAAAAATAACCATCAAAGGGTGGCAAGCAACACTAAATCATTTTTCAATTAGACTAATAATAACACATTCATATCTTATGATAATAATATGATAAATGAGCAACTTGCTTAAAATATTTTCTACTCTACAAATCCTTAAAACCAAAATAATCAAATTAAGTAATAGATATAGCAAGAAAAGCCACGTAAAAAGGATAAAAAGCCAAATAATGACGATGAATTTGTTAATAATTATAAATTAGCATTGTAACAGTATCAAGAGGATATGAATAAGTAAGCCTATAGTCACAAAAAGCGCTTAGTTTCCTACGACTAGGATTTAAAACTAAGATAAAATTTAAGAAGGAAAATAAAGTCTGTAGTTTAAGATCCAGCCCAAGTACCTATGAATATATTTTACACAATCATAAGTTATGATGGTAAATTGTTTAAGAAATTTTTGTGCCTATCAAATGGAATGAAAAACCACATTTTGTTTTATGTATTCGATAAGACTAAGAAAATCTCACATGATTTTCACAGAAAATATGGATAGCTGCTAGAACTATAGTCCAGATCATTAATTGTCAAGCCATTGTCTTTTGGCAAGGAAGAGGGAGTAAGGCTAGATTTATCCTTGAGAGTCAAGATTAAAAAGGAAGCAAAAAAGATTTAGGGGAAATCCATAATATTCAGTAATGGTTATAACCTTGAGAAGCAGACTACTGAAATATCTGAATCAAAAATAGAAGGAGAGTACCAAAATGTATATTAGTTTGATCTCTATTGTGCCCGAGCCAATAGATGGCTATGGCTACATTAGGATGAATGCTTAGTAAGTTTATATTTCTTATTAATATATAATAGTTCCACGGATCAACAGATTCTCGAGCTTACTCAATTCCAATTGTCCCAATATGTGTAGAGGACAACATTGAAATATCTTTAACACTAATATCCTTAATGGGAGTTTTAGATACAGATACAGTAAGGTGGTAATCTCTTAAAATAGAATCTTAACCAGATCAAAATGATATTCGAGATTACAACAGATTTAAAATGCTGACACCAAATAGGGATTTATTAGCTAAATATTTTGCAGATCTTAAGAGAGTTTGTGAAGTTGAAGACACTGTTGTAGAATGGTTTACAGAACCCAACATAAAAACAAAGAGTCTCAAATAGCACATTAGGAGAAAGTTAGACACTGAATAGTTTTCTAAGCAATTTGACATTAGCAAAGTTGAGGTTGGAGGCATAGACTTTTCAGTATGGAAAGTTCAACTTAGAGCAAAAAAGAACCCATTGTAAGAGTATAAATTTTATAAGGATCTAAATATGGGAATCAGAATAGAAAAGGACTAGAGTTTATCTATTATCAATGAAATTAAAAGATCTGGCTATCTAATCGACAAAGGATAAGATATTGAGTTAAGATCTGGTGATTTTCTGTTGGTATATGTGTCTATGGGGGGTTTTGAGAAATGATAACTTATCCATTTAAATATCTATAAATAATGATAATACCTTATGACAAGTTTAAATATTGTTATATTCAACTATTAATTGTTTCTAATTATTTGAATTTAATTCCTCATATTTTCTCTTAGCGGGGTTTTGGGGTTTTGGGGTTTTGGGG